TATATATATATATATATATATATATATATATATTAATTTAACTGTATAGAAGGTTTAATTAGACAAAGCTTTAAAGGAAAAATTATTATGTAATGAATCAGGAGTCAACTCTATGGAATATTTGAACTTATGTTTAACAATAACATGTATTTATAGGTTTCAAAATGAGCTTCGAATTAGTACTAGCCTAATCACAACTTAACTAGTAATGATTGTGTTTTGAGTTAAGTTAATCAACACAACCTTAATTGTTGTTTAAAGATGATTGTTCAATCCTTGCGACTAATCTCTGGTGGTTTATTGGATGTTTCTAACTGTGTGGACTGCTCGACCCTAGGCTGATCGAACAACCACATAGTACACAGGCCCTCCAAGCCTAAACATATCTTGATGTGCAAAGGGGTTTGTTATGAAAAAAGTATCTTGCATTTTGAAGGATGTTGGCTTCTTTTGGTAACTGATTGGTTGGGAAACCTTAACCGTGTGACACATTTCAGGGAGATGTGTCAATTGGGAGAATTTATAACTAGCGAGAAAGGAATATGTGACATGTTAGGTTTTGTACATCCCGAGAAATGAAAGGTCGTGAGGTGTAAGTCGCCAAATCTTCCTCAATTTGACAATCAGGATTTGTTCATTAGAGCACTTTTTTGAGCTATATATATAAATATAGGTGGAGCTCAACGTCATTTTCACCATTGCTCTCAATTTTCCTGTGCCAATATCAACTTTATAAACACTTATACTTATTTTACATATAAATATTCTAATTCTTTTACGGACTTGAGCTTCAGAAAGTCTTTTGTAGGTAAATCTCTCTCATTCTTAACCACAAGAAGTTCGATTATCGATCATCAAGAATGATCAGATCACTACTAAGATCTTGTCACCTATCTGTAGATTCACTCTCAAAATTCTTATAAAAACAAAAGGTTTATTGTCTATTAATAATTAATTTATTTTAGATTTAATTTATTTTAGATTAATAGACTTTTCACTTTTGTATATATAAATTAAAACAAATTGGTAATGCATTATACTAATTTTTTTTCTTATCTTTCTCATACACATGTTAGTTTAAACTCTATTGATTAACGTATAAATTATATATAATGTTTGTTTTCATGTCATGAAATAAAAATGTCTTTTTTTATGCATAGCTTAATAATGTAAGAGTAGAAAAACGATGCGAACCCTTATATGATTATTTACTCGTATGGAAGAATGAAAAATACTAGAATAGTTAATCATAAGACAAAAAGAAAGTGGTGGACAAAACACGGATCTTAATGGGGTATTTTCAATGGCCGTATTAAGCATGGATATTAGACGAAGACATAGACAACACTAAACTTTATTTCAAGAGTGTGATGTACATAATATTTATTTGTGAATAAGGAAGGGAAAGAGTGATCTACTTCCATAAATCATATTGAAAGCAACCTCACAAAATGCAAGAAAATTTTTGTTACTATGGGCTCATAGTCGACCGATCGGTGAAATCAGCCCGACCAATGATACCTCTCAGGTCAATAAACCGATCGGTAAAATCAGTCCGACCGATGGTACTTCTCAGGTCAATGAACCGATCGGTTAAATCAGCCGTTAAGGTAATTAATAGTAATAACTGTCGGGGAGTTAATGAAAATAATTGTCATTTATTGACAATTAATATTGTCATTTATTGGTGGTTAATGAGGCAGACCTAACGGTAAGCTCATTATAATTTATAAATATTCGTCTAGGCAAAAGGTAGAAAAAACTTGAACTTGAACTGAGACTTAGAACTCTGGTAACAACATCTTGATTACAAGATTATTACGCAAAGTCACTAACTTGAGCGTCGGAGTGTCTTTTGCAGACACCCTCTCCCGCGGCTCGGACAAGGAGAAGAGAGAAGACAGCACAACTGGACATCGGAGTAGACAACTTTGAATGTTTTGGATTATGGTTTTAAATCCTGCCGAAACAATTTTCTTCCCTGATTATATCTGAATGTGACAAATGGTACCTGCAGCATCTTTCCTTCCCTAACAATCCCTCTAATGGGAAAGTCGATAGGTAGGAATGGCAAATAGATGATTGGCCCTTGGCATTGTGAGTCCGAACTTCTCTGTCATTTCCAACTCATCTCCCAACATGTCATTTGGCAGTTTCCAATCAAAACAATGAACAAGTTGAGCCAATGTCTCACGAACCACGGTTAGACCAAGCTGCATTCCTGGACATCGCCTTCTGCCAGACCCAAATGGTATCAGCTCAAACTCATTCCCTCTCACATTTATGTTCCTTCCTTCAAATCTCTCTGGCCAGAACTTCTCTGCTTCATCCCAAACGCTTGGGTCTCTCATAATAGCCCATGCATTCACTATAACCCTTGATTTTTTAGGAATGAAATACTCTCCAACCATGCAGTCTTCCATGGACTGGTGTGGTATCAGCAAAGGTGCCACCGGATGCAGTCTCAGGCTTTCCTTTATAACCATGTCCAAATACTCTAACTTCTCTAAGTCTGATTCTTTCACCTTCCTCTCCATACCCACCACGCTTTCCAGTTCCATTTGAACTTTCTTCATCACCCTTGGATTCTTTAGCAGCTCTGAAAGTGCCCACTCTACTGATGTAGCAGAAGTGTCCACTGACCCAGCCAACATATCCTGTGCCAGAAAAGTGTCAAATAAGAGTAAGAATATGACAAGCAGATGTAAAAATCAGTACAAGAGCAAATTAACTAGCTTTTTTTAATGTATGAGGGAAAAGCCAAATGTTTTCATTTTTCTTACCATCACTATGGCTTTAATATTTGCTCGTTCAATGCGGTATTCAGAATTTTCAGTACCATAAAAGCCCAACATGACATCCACGAAATCCTTTGTCTTGTCTTCTCTTTTCCCTGATTCCATGTGCTCGTCAATAATTTTCTCGAAGAAGTCATCGAAGATTGTGTGAACCACCTTTAAGCGCCTAGTTATCCCTTGAAGGTCAAGTGCACCGATATAAGGAATGTAATCTCCCATGTTAGGAGTTGCTACTAAATGCAACGCCTCTTGCATCACAGCCTTGAACCCTTTCTCATCCAAGTCCTGGTCCATAAACTTCTTCCCTAATATCATTCTACAAGCCATGTCTAAACTGTACTTTGAAACCTTTGCACTGACATCAACAGCATCTCCATCGTTGGCTGCCTCTCTTAGAAGTTTGATCAACAGGTCAAGCTCCTCTTCCCTCATGCTTCTGAAGGAATTAATTTTGGTTTGACTCAGCAATTCCAACGTGCACATCTTGCGCATGTTGCGCCAATAAGAGCCATATTCAGCAAAGCCTAAGTTCCTCTGCCCCCAAGAGACGTATTTGTCTGCTTGATAACGTGGTCTGCTGGCGAACACAAGGTCATGGGTCTTGAGGAAGAGTTCAGCAGCTTGGGGTGAAGAAACAACAATGGTGGGCACAAAACCTAAGCGTAAGTACATGACAGGTCCATATTTTTTAGCCAGTTGGTGCAGATCACGATGAGGATTTGCTCCCAACTTGTTAAGGCTTCCCAAAATTGGCAACCCAGTGGGACCAGGTGGTAAATTATCTGCCTTCTTCTTGCTTCTGCAAAGCCACAGAAAAGCAAGAGAAGCTAAAAGAATTGCCATCAAAATCATCTTATCTATTTGGCAGATTTCAAGTAAGAATTGGATAGCAGTGTGCATCTTTGCTTCCAAAAGCAAGAAGGCTTTGAGGAGTTGGATGGTGTTGAAGATACGATGAGAACTAGAGTACCATATATACGTGCTTTATGGATCACAAACACACTTGAACAGTTCACCGTCACTGCGTTGCATGAATTTTCTCAACACGGCTTTCAAAACATATCTCTTCACGCATTCCAATCCCTCATGCAACCATCTAAACCGTAGATTACATCATTTAAACTACGCGATAAAACCAGAAATCAGTCTTAAATAAGTAAAAACTGTGCCAAGAATACGACAGTTGTATTTTATTGTAATATTAATTGTTCTAAATGTTTGGTATACATGAAGCGATGTTGAGACCAAAGGTTTACCTGTCACAACCTAGAACACTTTAACCATTCGTTCCCAAGAAGCGATAAGATTGAGATGATATTTTTGAAGATGAAGAAGAGATATTAAAGATCGATGTTGATTGCTTAAGTTGAAATTGTGAGCAGATAAATAAAAGCTACGTGGATCTCATATGACCTTTTCATTTAAGTGATACCAAATGAAAATTTATCAAATGATTAATTTTTAATATATGTTGAATGCTTCTTTTTTTATTATATGATCTCTTACTTTTCCTGTTATAAATATTTACCAAGAGTTATCACCCAATCGGATTTGGACAGGTTAACCTAGTTGTTTATGGAACTACGACCACATAATCTATAAGGATAAAAGCATCTTATCTAAAAAAATCTTGATCCAATCGGTATTTGGATGTTTTCACCTAACTTGGACCTACACCACAGTAACAAAATTATATATATTAGAATAAAAGTTTAATAAAAGTTACGTCATTGTGTTCGCATAATGTCTACAGTGTAATACATGTAATTTATTTATAGGTTAATTACTTTTCTTCACAATCTTTTTAGAATAGATTATATAAGTATTTTATTAGTTTGTATATTTAAAATGAACTAATTACAAATTATTTCATAAACGATAATAAAAAAAGTTATAAAAAAAATAGTTAAAAAAACATTTTCGTATGGCATATTTAAAGCAAATATCTTTCTCGCCTTTGCTTATCTAAAAGAAAAATGACGCATAAATACTATTTAAGAAAAAAAATATCTTAAATGAAATCTTTTGATCTTTGAAGGTGAACATTTACAGTCTCATTTCTGTTTAGTTAGTCCAGTGAAGAGTTTTTTTTTTTTTTTGAGTTTGATCTTTTAAAAACCGAATTATGGGGTTTTTATCATTGGACCAGTCAAACAAAGTGAAAATCTAACTCTTCGAAAACTAAAGCTCCATTTTTGAATAGTTGAAAACCTATTTTTTCATCTTAATAATAACAAAAAAATTCCAAACTTTGGGAAATCAAATTCTAATAAAGTTTTTGTCCCCGACAGCCATATCTATACTTTACAGGTCTAAACAGACTTCAACAAAATGAAATGGTGCGCAACTTACCTCATCTTGATACTCATCAAGAGTTTGTGTAAATTGTCTTGTGAGAAAACAAGAAATACATTTCCATGTTATTTTTACGTGGAACCCCTTGGAGATCTCTCAAGTTTAAGTTCAAAATTCGTTTAATTTGAATGACTTTTTACTTTTGTACATACAAATTAAATTTATATCGATATATATAAATTAAAACAAATTGGTAATGCACTAAATATTGTTGTAGATTTTTAACACACAATCGTTAGACTCAAAAAAATGCATTAGTTTATGTAAAAAAAAAAATGTATGTATTAAGCATTTTGTTAACATAAATAACAAGGGTAACATATAATTATAGGTAGAACTTGTATATTTGTATTAAATTTTGTTTAGAACTATGTTTATTAAACTTTGTTTAGAACTATGTTCAATAGGTTTTGTTTAAAACTATGTTTATTAAGCTTTATTTATAATATATTGAACTGTTGTCATAAATGATTGGAAAATGAATTTGTATATGAAAATTTACGAGTGTTGTGGCTTTCACAATGGATCAATTTTTTTAAAAAAAAAACACTTGCCGAGATGATTATTGCTTCAATCGTCATGATTTATTACTTTCAATGATGGTTTTGAACCAAAACTGTTGTGATGCAACTCGTTTAATGTTTTTTTTATTTTTTGCTTTTTAACAATGGACCAACCGTCATATATCGAGTTACAATATTCTCTTTTCTTGCTTTTTTGTCATTTTTAATGACAATTTTGGATCAACTGTCGTGATTTTGTGACACTTTTAACGATGGTGGTTCAACCATCTTTGTTTTCTTGCACTTTTGAAGAATGTTAATCCTACAATAGTTCAAAAATCATAATCGAGACTTATTTTAACCATCATCGAAAGTGTAATTTGTATCCAGAGAGAGAGAGAGAGAGAGAAAATACATAGCTAGAACATAACATCCTCAGTTTAGTAAGATCACGTATCGATTGAATAATATCTCAAAGGAAAGAAATTTTTTTTATATGATTTCTTTCTCTCTTGAATGATCAAGAAGTGTTTAATGATCAAGAAGTGTTTAAGTGTCCAAATTAACAATAAAGAGAATTTACATTGAGTTTCATTGCTAAAGTGGTATACCATCGTTAGGGGTTTTGAATTTGACAATACACTCCAAAGTTCTAGTTCTCATTTCAAACTCTATCTTTATCACTTTCAGCTACTAGCTAGTCTTTGCTTGAATAATGAGAGAGTGGAGTAAAGAGAATATTGTTTCACCATCTCTTTCCAACATTAAGTCATAGATTAGCATCAATATTGCCATGTGAACATATTATTAAAAAATAAAAAAATAAAACAAAAATATGGAAGAACTACCTCCGATCATCAGTATTAGTTCTCGGATCAAGATCTACCATGGCTACCTCCGATCGTCTTCTCCTCTGCCGGTTGGGTGGATCAGATGAGGATGGCTGAACCTTCAGTCCGGCCACATAACATTCCCGGGCGATCCTCTGATCGGAGCGAACAGTGCAAATGGTTCCATTGTCCGACAGAAACTTGAGTGTGAGGTGGGGCGTGGAAACAATCGCCCCGAATGCATTTAAGCATGGTCGGCCCAACAACACATTGTACGATGTGTTTGCGTCTACCAGCAAAAACCTGGTCTTTAGCTCCTTATTCCGCTCGGTTCCCAAGCAAGTTCTCAGATCTACATATCATCTCGTATCCACCCTTTCCTCCGAAAATCCTATTATCTGCTCGTTATACAGGGCTATCAGATCTTCAGATATGTCCATCTGTTGGAACGTCTTCCAGTAAAGAATGTTAACAGAACTTCCTTGATCCACCAATACCTTTCCTACACTGTACCAAGCAATAACAGCTGTTATTACCATCGGATCGTCTTGATATGGATCAGGAGCATGAAAATCGTCATCGGTGAACGTGATTGGCGGCATAGAGCGCTTCCTCACATCTACCCGGTGAACGCTTTTAAGCTCCCTTAGGTTTCTCTTCCTTGCTGACGCCGATGACCCTCCAACAAAACCTCCAGAGATAGTGTTTATTGTGCCACGCAGCGATCGGTCATGGCTGCGACTTCTACTCCGCCTACGAAAATTACATCACACATGCAAACAAAAAATACTTATTATGAATAAACTAAGTAAAACATATTGTAAAATGGTGATTTTCTTCACAAAAAGCATTCTATAATTTGAACTCTATATACTTTTAAAACTCATTATTTTTAGAAGTTCTTACTTTAAAAAATTTAGTATTAACTTTTTTTCACCTACTACTATTAAATTGTTTTTAGTTTGAATTTATTTATTATCATCTTTAATATTAAAATATTCCTTTTCATCAAACATATTAATTTAATAATTAGAAGCTAATTTCAATTTTTCTGTAAAACGAGATTCCTTGTTCATCAAATAATTATATACATGCAATAATTAGCATAATCACTTAAGTGATAATCCATTGCTTAACAAGTACATGCATACCATATGAAAACTATGAAACCATTGCTCCCAATTCAATTAAACTAATTTTAAATATTCCAAAATGTTCTAAACACCCCCTTTCCGCTTATTGATACAACCAAAATCATAGTTTCATCATTAATTCAATATGATCTATCTGTTGGAAAAAACGTAACCCACATAAATAATAATACTCTTCAATTCAGTGGGTTATTTTTCATTAAATCTTGGCAACCTCTAAATAGGTGCAAATAGGGCCTTGGGCCAAGTACAAATAATAAAAAATAAAAACTAACAATAAAATATCAATTAACTTAAAATAAAATCTACCTAATCCATCTCTATCTTATAAAATAAAATAATACTCTCCTAAATAAAAGGAAAATCAAAACTATTTATATCTATTTTATCTCTATCAAAATCAAATCAAATATTACTAAACCCAAAACTAATAAAATAAGATTTTAATAAATCTCTAAAATTTAAGTTTATCCCAACACTATCAACCCTCAACTCCTCCAAAAATCAATGCACTTAGAATCTAACTCAAAACCAATCATTTTTCATTGAACAATAACATACAAGGTTAAATTAAAGAAAAAATAAATTTACTATTAATATGCACTTTATTTTTAAGAATATGTTAATATCTTTATCGGTGGATCTGTAATTTAAAAGTTAATCAAATGAAAGTATGTGAAAAATAGTTTTGACTACGAATTATTAAATACTTAAAAAGTGAAGATAGTTATCAAACATCAGATAAAATATAATTGATATAATTTAATATATTTCTCCATTTCAAAACTATAATGATTTTTAACAACTTATATTTATTTAAAAACTATAGTAAAGTATTAAATTTTATAAAAACAATGGATGTATATGGATGTATTCAATAGGAGTATTTTAATCCACAAATCTAATAATTAATAGGAGCATGTTTATTTCAATCTCCTCTCTACTTTCATGAAAGCTGTCCTTTCTACTCAAACATAGACTCGTTCCCACTTCAACCTCCTTTAACTTCTCATATTTCTCACCGATTCTTCTTTTCTCTATCACATATTCGTACATTTTTACCTTCTTCTGTGTCTTTTTCGACAAAGTGGGAGAATGGCTTGAAATATTTCAAGTTGGATTGCAGCATGAAGACGAAAAGGTGAGTGTGCAGCAACAATTTAAAATCTAAA